TGTGAGCTGAAGCTGATAGAGTACACTTGAACGGATCTTTGGCAGCGTATGACTCCGAGGGAGTACCAAGCCATACTCAGGTACAGGTTGTTGGTTCCTTTGTTCGTGGAGGGGACAGTGTGCCCAGTTTGTCGTAGGACGCATATGGATGCTTTTGGAGAGCATGTCATCCATTGTCAGAAGCAGCTAGGGTTCAAGTACAGGCACAACTTAGTCAGAGATGTCTTGTATGATATCCTTCAAAGAGCAGGGATCCCATCAAAGAAGGAAGCGCCGGTCAACTTCCTCACTCCTCCAGGAGAGGCTAGATCCACTCTAAGACCGGCAGACGTTCTTGTCTACAATTGGAGCGGGGGGAAGCACGCTTGTGTTGATCTCACAGGAGTATCTCCGTTGGTGGGGTTTGGTAATGGAGAGTTCAAGGTTGGACATGCAGCAGATAGAGCAGCAGAGGCAAAGGTGGGCAAACATGATCAAGCTTGCAAGGACAACCACCACAACTTTATCATGTTCGCTTTCAATACGTTTGGTTTCCTTGCAGCTGATGCGGTGGAGTTTCTCAGGAGGGTACAGAAATTCATGGATAAGAATGTAGTGACGGCAGAGTCCGCTGAGTACGTGTTTCGTAGGTTAGATTTTGCAATTCAGAAAGCATTAGCGGCTCAGCTTGTTGCCCGTTTGTCATCATCACATGTGTAATATTTTTATCTTAATTTATAATATGAATTTGAGAAGGATAAACAAATGAAAAGTAGAACATTTATATTGATCAATTGACCTTTCTATGTACCGACTTTAAAAAATATCAAACCATAAGAATATGCATGCAATAAGAATATCGATATCAAGTAAACCAATATAGTACCATCAAAATATGACTTTCATGTTATAAATAGCGACCTTCACAAATTGGATGTATGACTTCAAGAAAACGAGTCAAAAACTACCCCTTAATGATATTAAGGGGTAATCCACAAATTTTATGCTGGATCATTTATTCTTGATTAAGACAAAATTACCCCTTAACATCTACGTAAAAACGAGTCAAATTTCGAAAATAAGAAGGGCAGAATTGTCTGATCAACAAGGATGCGGTTCGCGGACAAGCGTCCAAGAAAAAAGGAATTTTTTTTCTATATACACCGTTGTAATCATGCTGGCATTTGACGCCTGTCCTTCTGCTCCCCTTCCTCTAAGGGGTTGTTTGGTTGTATATTTTTATCATGTAAAAGAATGGAAAGTGTAAAAAAGTGGGTCCAATGTCAGCTTTCACCACTTTACATTGTTTGTTTAAATTCTCTTTTACATGAAAAGCTTACATCTTTTGATGAGGTGTCACCGAAAGCAAAATCATCAAAATTATGAGTGATTTTATTGGAAAGCTGACACAATGTCATAAATGTGTCCAAAAAATAATAAAAAAGTCAAAACCTTGTAGAAAGTGGTGAGGTGGATAACCACTTTCCATTTTGTGTAATAAATACTCTAGTTTATATTATACTATCCAAACAATGTAATACTATTATTTTATGATTTACAAAGATTCCTAACCAAACAATGTAAACACTCGAATGGAAAGTGATGAGGTGGATAACTACTTTCTATTTTGTGTCATAAATATTTTAGTTTCCTAAAGGCATCCAAACAGCCCCTAAACAGAACGTCAGAACCCAATAACTTTGCATGGATCGCTGCCTTTTACGTGTGGCTTGGAGGTTTTTTCAATTTTGCCCCGAATATTATTTTTGGGTTCCACCCCACCGCCCAAAAAATCTTCAATATTAGCCCCACAAATATTTTAAATCAATCTCAGGTCCCTCAATTTCTATTAATATGTTGAAATAAATGCCCTTATAGCTAAAATCTGCTACATAATTATAATATGGGTGGCGTATTCTGTTTACTCTAATTTTTTAATGATTTGCAAGTTATAGTCCTCTTGCACAAACCCAATCTGACCTCAACTTAATACATGTTAAGCTCGCCAAATCCGTTTACTAAAGTTCTAACACAAGACCACTTACCACTCCAATTAACCTCTCCAACGTCTTTCCCCAAAAGGAACCTATCCATTACAAATTTGGAATTAATTAGGGCCGATGGTGTTAGAGAAGATGAAATAAAAAATATATTTTTTTTGGGTTACAGCATATTAAATGGATTTAATTAGGAGCTTAGTTGGTATGACTAATTAAAAGTAGTTTACAGGTTTCAGTTTTTTGTGAGAGTTTTTTGTGAGAGGGGTATAACTAGCAAATCACCGAAAAGTTAAGGTAAATAGAATATTCCCTCTATATTAACCAAAGTTTCACTACGGGCGCTTATTTGAATATATTAATAGGATTTGCGGTGCCGGAGATTAATTTTAAAGATCCCGCTGGGTGGGTTGGGGGTTGCTGATATCAAAATAACTAAATATTATTTCTTTAAAAAATTAACTTCGCAAACGTTTAATGAAATAGATATTTTTTGGGGTTGTTTTGCCGATATTGAAATGACCAACTATTATTTCTTGAAAGAATTTCCCAAATTAATGTTTAATAAAATAGCCATAGAGAATGATAAAATAGAGTGACAATGTATCCAGCAATGCTACAATTGACATTCTTGACGATTACTTGAGTTTAGCAAATGGCCTAGGGGCGGTTACTTGAATCATTTCCTATTAATTTTTTTTGAATAGTACTAAGAGGAAAAATGTCCCAGGGGTAATTATTTTTGGACTGTAGTTATCTCAATTAAAAATGGATGTGAAAAAATATTAAAGATGAGATAGTGCAAGAGTCTAACACTATGAAACCACTCCCCCCTCATAATACACGAAATAATTTACCCCTAAAGAACAGGGTTACGTGATCGATTTTCTTTATACTTCATTGAATTCGACAAAAACCGACATCAATCATGCAGATGAGTAATTTTATAAGTTTTACCTATAATAATAATAATAATAATAATAATAATAATAATAATAATAATAATAATAACAAGAGCAATAATAGCAATGACAATGATAATAATGATAATAATAATAATAATAATAATAGCATATAAGTGTTATGCAACATATACAGCGAAAGATTTTGCCTCAAATCAAACTAATTCCCTTTTGGTTGCTTTGGTATCGCTACCAAAATTTATATTATCTGCATTCAGTGAAGCTACATAGCTCAAAATTTTGAGATGTATTAAAATCTCATAAAGGTCGCATCTCCTCAAACAAAAAAAAACAAAAAAAAAAGAATGCGAGAGATTAAATGATAATGCTAAGCTCCCGGCCTAGCTAGATTCACCGAGGAATTAAGCAAAAATCAGTAGACAAGCATTTTAACACATGGAGAAAATGCATTTTATAAGTTTAATTATTAGTCCTTAAGCATTTCTTTGCAAACAAATTAATTCTAGATGAAAATATCAAAAGTACCCCTGCAACCGGTTAACTTGGAGACCAGGTAAAAACGACAAAAAAACTTTCAATTTTTTTCTAAAATGTAAAGGCCTTATCTGTTCCGTTCTCTGTCATCATCACTCAGTACTCGCGCGCTCTCTCCCTCTCTTTCTTTCAAGAACCGAGATTCTCTATTCTCCTCTCTCCTTCTCTCCCTCCTCCCCCTCACCGCCAGAGATCATGACGATCTCCGAGAGGCCGAATTCGTCGCGATTTTTCCGAAAGGTCGTTCGGAACAGGAAGCCATCGATGCGAACGTGCGCCGCCCCCCCCCCCCTCGTCGTCGGTCCTCCTCATCCCCCTCCTCCCAACCGTCAGGCCGGCGTCGCTCCCGATGTTAAACCCCGTCGACACGCTCCAGTCCGCAGGATCTCCGTCGCGCGGGAATCGAAAGTAACGGCCCCTGTATCCGTCAACATCCACCCGAGCGCCACCAAACCCACACCCGTCGGCCGGCGTCGCCTCTCCTCCCCATGTCAACCCGTACAGGACGTCCAGCCGTATAGGATCTCTTTCAACGCCGGGACTCGAAAGCCAAGATCCGTGCTACCCCTAACAATTAGCGGGCCCACCAAACCCACACTATCGTCTCCTCCTCCTCCTCCCACCCCCCGACCGTCGGCGGCATCGAATCCTCCCAATGTTAACCGTCAGCAATGCTCAACCACAGGATCTGTCGTCGATGCGGGATCAAAGCCCAAGTCTGTACCACAAATCGACGGAGTCCAAACCCCACACCCGTTTGCCGGTCCTCTCCTCCTACCCCGACCGGTCGGCGGTGGGCCCTCCTCCCCATGTTAACCCGTCAGCACGCTCAGCCGCAGGATCTTCCGTCGACGCGGGAATCAAAGCTCAAGCCGTACGTAAAACAATCACGGAGTCCACCGGCCCCACACCGTCCTCCTCCTCCTCCTCCCCCCGACTTTCGGCGGCGTCGACTCCTCCCGGGGATGCGAGGGAGGGCGAGAGGGAGGAGAGGGAGAGGGACATGCATGAGAGAGAGAGAGGGGGAGAGAGAGAGAGAGGAAAGGGAGAGGGACATGCAGGAGAGGGGGAGGGATGAGAGGGATGAGAGGGACATGCATGAGAGGGCCAGGGAACATGAGAGAGATGCGAGGGAGGCCGAGAGACAGGAGAGGGAGAGGGAGAGGCATGAGAGGGAGGCTGAGAGACAGGAGAGGGAGAGGGAGAGGCAGGAGATGACCCTTGAGAGGGAGAGAGAGGGAGAGGGAGGAGAGGGAAGCTGAGAGACAGGAGAGGAGAGAGAGAGGGAGAGAGATTAGAGGGAGAGGGACAGGCAGGAGATGGCCCTTGAGAGGGCCAGGGAGCAGGAGAGAGATGCGAGGGAGGCCGAGAGACAGGAGAGGGAGGCTGAGAGACAGGAGAGGGAGAGGGAGAGGAGGGAGAGGGCTGACGAGAGGGGTAGGGAGAGGCATGAGAGAGAGATGCCAGGGAGGCCGAGAGGGAGAGGGAAATGCAGGATAGGGAGGCTGAGAGACAGGAGAGGGAGAGAGAGAGGGAGAGAGATTAGAGGGAGAGGGACAGGCAGGAGATGGCCCTTGAGAGGGCAAGAGAGAGGCAAGAGAGATATGCGAGGGAGGCCGAGAGGGAGGCCAAAAGGTGGCCGAGAGACAGGAGAGGGAGAGGGAAAGGCAGGAGAGGGGGGCTTAGAGACAGGAGAGGGAGAAGGAGAGGCAGGAGGGGGGGAGGGAGGGGGGTGGGAGGGAGGGGGGGACAGGAGAGGAAGATGGAAAGGCAGGAGAGGGAGGCTGAGACACAGGAGAGGGAGAGGGAGAGAGATGATAGGGAAAGGGACATGCATGAGATGACCCTTGAGAGGGCCAAGGAGGGGCAGGAGAGAGATGTGAGAGAGGGCGAGAGACAAGAGAGGGAGAGGGAAAGGCAGGAGAGGGAGGTTGAGAGACAGGAGAGGGAGAGGGAGAGGTAGGAGAGGGAGAGGGACATGCAGGAGATGGCCCTTGAGAGGGCCAGGGAGAGGCAGGAGAGAGATGCGAGGGAGGCCGAGAGACAGGAGAGGGAGAGGGAAAGGCAGGAAAAGGAGGCTGAGAGACAGGAGAGGGAGAGGGAGAGGCAGGAGAGGGAGAGGGACAGGCAAGAGATGGCCCTTGAGAGGGCCAGGAGAGAGATACGAGGGAGGCCGAGAGACAGGAGAGGAAGAGGGAAAGGCAGGAGAGGGAGGCTGAGACACAGAAGAGGGAGAGGGAGAGAGATGATAGGGAAAGGGACAGGCAGGAGATGATCCTTGAGAGGGCCAAGGAGGGGCAGGAGAGAGATGCGAGGGAGGGCGAGAGACAAGAGAGGGAGAGGGAAAGGCAGGAGAGGGAGGCTGAGAGACATGAGAGGGAGAGAGAGAGAGGCTGAGAGACATGTAAAGGCCTTATCCGTTCCGTTCTCTGTCATCATCACTCAGTACTCGCGCGCTCTCTCCCTCTCTTTCTTTCAAGAACCGAGATTCTCTATTCTCCTCTCTCCTTCTCTCCCTCCTCCCCCTCACCGCCAGAGATCATGACGATCTCCGAGAGGCCGAATTCGTCGTGATTTTTTCGAAAGGTCGTTCGGAACAGGAGCAATTCCGAACGAAGGCGCCCCACCATCATCGTCGTCGTCTTCCTCATCCTCCCCCCGACCGTCGGTGGCGTCGCCTTATCCCGATGTTAACCCGTCGGCACGCTCAGCCGTAGGATCTTCCGTCGACGCGGGAATCGAAGCCCAAGGTCCTGTACCCCTAACAATAGCGGAGCCCACCAAACCCACACCGTCGGCGGCGTCGCCTCCTCCTCCCCATGTCAACCCGTCAGCACGCTCAGCCGTAGGATCTTCTGTCGACGCGGGAATCGAAGCCTAAGGTCCTGTACCCCTAACAATGGTAGAGCCCACCAAACCCACACCGTCCTCCTCCTCCTCCTCCTCCCCCGACCGTCGGCGGCATCGAATCCTCCTAATGTTAACCCGTCAGCACGCTCAGCCATGGGATCTTCCGTCGATGCGGGAATCAAAGCCCAAGGTCCTGTACCCCTAACAATGGCAGCGCCCACCAAACCCACACCGTCGTCCTCCTACTCCTCCCCCGATCGTCGGCGGCATCGAATCCTCCCAATGTTAACCTGTCAGCACGCTCAGCCATAGGATCTTCCGTCGATGCGAGAATCAAAGCCCATGGTCCTGTACCCCTAACAATCGGGGAGAGGCAGGACAGAGATGTGAGGGAGGTCGAGAGGGAGGCAGAGAGGGAGGAGTGGGAGAAGGAAAGGCATGAGATGGAGGCTGAAAGACAGGAGAGGGAGAGGGAGAGGTATGAGAGGGAGAGGGAGAGAGATGAGAGGGACAGGCATGAGATGGCCCTTGAGAGGGCAAGGGAGAGGTAGGAGAGAGATGCGAGGGAGGCTGAGAGACATGAGAGGGAGAGGGAAAGACAGGAGAGGGCGACTGAGATACATGAAAGGGAGAGGAAGAGGCAGGAGAGGGAGAGGGAGAGAGATAAGAGGGAGAGGGACAGGCACGAGATGACCCTTGAGAGGGCCAGGGAGAGGCAGGAGAGAGATGTGAGGGAGGCCGAGAGGTGGCCGAGAGATAGGAGGGGGAGAGGGGAAGGCAGGAGAGGGAGGTTGAGAGACAAGAGAGAGAGAGAAATGGAAAGGCAGGAGAGGGAGACTGAGAGACAGGAGAGAGAGAGAGAGAGAGAGAGAGAGAGAGGGAGAGGGAGAGGGAGAGAGATGAGAAGGAGAGGGACAGGCATGGGATGGCCCTTAAGAGAGCCAAGGAGAGGTAGATGTGTCCATCCAGGCCGAGCCCGGGCCGGGCAAAACCGGAGCCCGGACCCGGACCCGGGCCCGACCGGGCCGGTTCCGGGCCGGCCCGGTTTATTTATTTTTAATTCTATTTAAAATTTAAATTATAAAAAAAGATAAAAAAATTAATAAAAAACAATAATTTTATTAATCACATAAAATAACATAAATTACAAATAAAAAATTATAGAAATGAATTATTTATTAATAATTAATAAATCATTTTTAAATTACAAGTATAAATTTATTTTGGAATTCATCGCATCCCAATAGATAAGTACATCCCAACTAGGTTTTTTTTAATTTCTTTTCTTTTCTTTTTGATAAAAAAATGATAAAAATTAGTTTAACATTATTATATTTTATGCTGGATCATTTATCCTTGATTAAGACAAAATTACCCCTTAACATCTACGTAAAAACGAGTCAAAACTTCGAAAAGAAGAAGGACAGAATTGTCTGATCAACAAGGATGTGGTTCGCGGACAAACGTCCAAGAAAAAAGAAAAAAAATTCTATATACACCGTTGTAATCATGCTGGCATTTGACGCCTGTCCTTCTGCTCCCCTTCCTCTAAACAGAACGTCAGAACCCAACAACTTTGCATGGATCGTTGCCTTTTACGTGTGGCTTGTAGGTTTTTTCAATTTTACCCCGAATATTATTTTTGGGTTCCACCCCACCCCCCAAAAAATCTTCAATATTTCAATATTAGCACCACAAATATTTGAAATCAATCTCAGGTCCCTCAATTTCTATTATTATGTTGAAATAAATGCCCTTATAGCTAAAATCTGCTACATAATTATAATATGGGTGGCGTATTCTGTTTACTCTAATTTTTTAATGATTTGCAAGTTATAGTCCTCTTACACAAATTAATTTTTTAATGACAAGCATTTTAACACATGGATAAAATGCATTTTATAAGTTTAATTATTAGTCCTTAAGCATTTCTTTGCAAACAAATTAATTCTAGACGAAAATATCAAAAGTACCCCTGCAACCGGTTAACTTGGAGACCAAGTAAAAACGACAAAAAAACTTTCAATTTTTTTCTAAAATGTAAAGGCCTTATCTGTTCCGTTCTCTGTCATCATCACTCAGTACTCGCGCGCTCTCTCCCTCTCTTTCTTTCAAGAACCGAGATTCTCTATTCTCCTCTCTCCTTCTCTCCCTCCTCCCCCTCACCGCCAGAGATCATGACGATCTCCGAGAGGCCGAATTCGTCGTGATTTTTTCGAAAGGTCGTTCGGAACAGGAGCAATTCCGAACGAAGGCGCCCCACCATCATCGTCGTCGTCTTCCTCATCCTCCCCCCGACCGTCGGTGGCGTCGCCTTATCCCGATGTTAACCCGTCGGCACGCTCAGCCGTAGGATCTTCCGTCGACGCGGGAATCGAAGCCCAAGGTCCTGTACCCCTAACAATAGCGGAGCCCACCAAACCCACACCGTCGGCGGCGTCGCCTCCTCCTCCCCATGTCAACCCGTCAGCACGCTCAGCCGTAGGGTCTTCTATCGAAGTGGGAATCGAAGCCCAAGATCCTGTACCCCTAACAATAGCGGAGCCCACCAAACCACACGAGAGGGAAAGGCAAGAGAGGGGGGCTTAGAGACAGGAGAGGGAGAAGGAGAGGCAGGAGAGGATAGGCAAGAGATGGCCCTTGAGAGGGCCAGGGAGAGGCAGGAGAGAGATGCGAGGGAGGCCGAGAGACAGGAGAGGGAGAGGGAAAGGCATGAGAAGGAGGCTGAGAGACAGTAGAGGGAGAGGGACAGGCAGGAGATGGCCCTTGAGAGGGCCAGGGAGACGCATGAGAGAGATGCGAGGGAGGCCGAGAGGGAGGCCAAGAGACAGGAGAGGGAGAGGGAAAGGCATGAGAGGGAGGCTAAGAGACGGGAGAGGGAGAGGGAGAGAGATGAGAGGGAGAGGGACAGGCAGGAGATGGCCCTTGAGAGGGCAAGGGACAGGCAGGAGAGAGAAACGAGGGAGGCCGAGAGACAAGAGAGGGAGAGGGAAAGGCAGGAGAGGGAGACCGAGTGACAGGAGAGGGAGAGGGAGAGGCAGGAGATGGCCCTTGAGAGGGCCAGGAGAGAGATGCGAGGGAGGCCGAGATACAGGAGAGGAAGATGGAAAGGCAGGAGAGGGAGGCTGAGACACAGGAGAGGGAGAGGGAGAGAGATGATAGGGAAAGGGACATGCATGAGATGACCCTTGAGAGGGCCAAGGAGGGGCAGGAGAGAGATGTGAGAGAGGGCGAGAGACAAGAGAGGGAGAGGGAAAGGCAGGAGAGGAAGGTTGAGAGACAGGAGAAGGAGAGGGAGAGGCAGGAGATGGCCCTTGAGAGGGCCAGGAGAGAGATGCGAGGGAGGCCGAGATACAGGAGAGGAAGATGGAAAGGCAGGAGAGGGAGGCTGAGACACAGGAGAGGGAGAGGGAGAGAGATGATAGGGAAAGGGACATGCATGAGATGACCCTTGAGAGGGCCAAGGAGGGGCAGGAGAGAGATGTGAGAGAGGGCGAGAGACAAGAGAGGGAGAGGGAAAGGCAGGAGAGGAAGGTTGAGAGACAGGAGAAGGAGAGGGAGAGGCAGGAGATGGCCCTTGAGAGGGCCAGGAGAGAGATGCGAGGGAGGCCGAGATACAGGAGAGGAAGATGGAAAGGCAGGAGAGGGAGGCTGAGACACAGGAGAGGGAGAGGGAGAGAGATGATAGGGAAAGGGACATGCATGAGATGACCCTTGAGAGGGCCAAGGAGGGGCAGGAGAGAGATGTGAGAGAGGGCGAGAGACAAGAGAGGGAGAGGGAAAGGCAGGAGAGGAAGGTTGAGAGACAGGAGAAGGAGAGGGAGAGGCAGGAGATGGCCCTTGAGAGGGCCAGGAGAGAGATGCGAGGGAGGCCGAGATACAGGAGAGGAAGATGGAAAGGCAGGAGAGGGAGGCTGAGACACAGGAGAGGGAGAGGGAGAGAGATGATAGGGAAAGGGACATGCATGAGATGACCCTTGAGAGGGCCAAGGAGGGGCAGGAGAGAGATGTGAGAGAGGGCGAGAGACAAGAGAGGGAGAGGGAAAGGCAGGAGAGGAAGGTTGAGAGACAGGAGAAGGAGAGGGAGAGGCAGGAGATGGCCCTTGAGAGGGCCAGGAGAGAGATGCGAGGGAGGCCGAGATACAGGAGAGGAAGATGGAAAGGCAGGAGAGGGAGGCTGAGACACAGGAGAGGGAGAGGGAGAGAGATGATAGGGAAAGGGACATGCATGAGATGACCCGGGAGAGAGATAGGCAAGAGATGGCCCTTGAGAGGGCCAGGGAGAGGCAGGAGAGAGATGCGAGGGAGGCCGAGAGGGAGGCCGAGAAGGAGGAGAGGGAGAGGGAAAGGCAGGAGAGGGAGGCTGAGAGACAGGAGAGAGAGAGAGAGAGACAAGAGAGGGAGAGGGACAGGCAGGAGATGGCCCTTGAGAGGGCCAGGGAGAGAGGCCGGAGAGAGATGCGAGGGAGGCCGAGAGAGAAGAGAGGCAGAGGGAAAGGCAGGAGAGGGAGGCTGAGAGACAGGAGAGGGAGAGAGAGAGAGAGATAAGAGGGAGAGGGACATGCAGGAGATGACCCTTGAGAGGGCCAGCGAGAGGCAGGAGAGAGATGTGAGGGAGGCCGAGAGGGAGGCCGAGAGACAGGAGAGGGAGAGGGAAAGGCAGGAGAGGGAGGCTGAGATACATGAGAGGGAGAGAGAGAGGCAAGAGAAGGAGAGGGTGAGAGATGAGAGGGAGAGGGACAGGCAAGAGAAAGCCCTTGAGAGGGCCAGGGAAAGGCAGGAGAGAGATACGAGGGAGGCCGAGAAGGAGACCGAGAGACACGAGAGGGACAGGGAATGGCAGGAGAGGGAGGCTGAGAGACAGGAGAGGGAGAGGCAGGAGAGGGAGAGGGAGAGGGAGAGAGATGAGATGGAGAGGGAGAGGGACATGCAGGAGATGGCCCTTGAGAGGGCAAGGGAGAGACAAGAGAGAGATGCGAGGGAGGTCGAGAGGGAAGTCGAGAGACATGAGAGGGAGAAGGAAAGGCAGGAGAGGGAGGCTTAGAGAAAGGAGAGGGAGAGGCAGGAGAGAGATGCGAGGGAGGCTGAGAGGGAGGCCAGGAGAAAGGAGAGGGAGAAGGAAAGACAGGAGAGGGAGACTGAGAGGCAGGAGAGGGAGTGGGACAAACAGGAGATGACCCTTAAGAGGGCCAGAGAGAGGCAGGAGAGGCAGGAGAGAGATGCTAGGGAGGCCGAGAGGGAGGAGAGGGAGAGGGAAAGGCAGGAGAGAGAGGCTGAGAGACATGAGAGGGAGAGGAAGAGAGATGAGAGGGAGAGGGACATGCAGGAGATGGCCCTTGAGAGGGCCAGGGAGAGTCAGGAGAGAGATGCGAGGGAGGCCAAGAGACATGAGAGGGAGAGGGAAAGGCAGTTGAAGGAGGCTGAGAGACAGGAGAGGGAGAGGGGGGGGTAGGAGAGGGAGAGGGAGAGAGATGAGAGGGAGTGGGACAGGCAGGAGATGACTCTTGAGAGGGCCGGGGAGAGGCAGGAGAGAGATACGAGGGAGGCCGAGAGGGAGGCCGAGAGGGAGGAGAGGGAGAGGGGAAGGCAGGGAGAGAGGCAGGGGGGGGAGGCTGAGAGACAGGAGAGGGAGAGGGAGAGGCAGGAGATGACCCTTGAGAGGGAGAGAGAGGGAGAGGGAGGAGAGGGAAGCTGAGAGACAGGAGAGGGAGAGGGAGAGGAAGGGGAGGGAGAGGGAGACAGGTAGGAGATGGCCCTTGAGAGGGCCAGGGAGAGGCAGGAGAGAGATGCGAGGTAGGCGACCGTCAGCACGCTCAGCCAATGATCTTCCTGTCGATCGGGAATCAAAGCCCAAGGTCCGTGTACCCCTAACAATGGCGCAGCGCACCAAACCCACACCGTCGTCTCCTACTCTCCCCCGATCGTCGCGGCATCGAATTCCTCCAATGTAAACCCTTTCGCACGCTCAGCCATAGCGGATCTTCCGTCCGATGAGAATCAAAGCCCATGCGTCCATGTACCCCTAACAATTCGGGGGAGAGGCAGGACAGAGATGTGAGAGTGAGAGGTAGTGCAAAGAGAGGGAGGAGTCTGCGGAGAAATGAAGGCATGAGAGTGGAGGCTGAAAGAACAGGAGAGGCGAGTAGGGAGAGCTATGAGAGGAGAGGGAGAGAGTGAGAGGGCAGGCATTGAGATGGCCCTTGAGAGGGCAAGGAGAGGTAGGAGAGAGATGGCGAGGGTAGGCTTGAGAGACATGAGAGCGGAGAGGAAGAGACGGAGAGGGATGAGATTACATGAAAGGGGAGAGGATAGAGGCAGGAGAGGGAGCAGGGAGAGAGATAGGAGGGAGAGGACAGGCACGAGATGACCCTTGAGAGAGGCCAGGGAGGGCAGGAGAGAGATGTGAGAAGGCCGAGAGCGTGGTCGAGAGATAGGAGGCGGGAGAAGGGGAACGGCAGGAGAGGGAGGTTAGAGAACAAGAGAGAGAGAGAAATGGAAAGGCACGGATGAGGGAGACTGAGAGACAGGACGAGAGAGAGAGAGAGAGAGAGCAGAGAGAGGAGAAGGGAGAGGAGAGAGGATGAGAAGGAGAGGGACAGGCCATGGATGGCCTTAAGAGCCAAGAGAGGTTAGATGTTGTCCATACAGGCCGAGTGCAAAACCGGCAGCGCCGGACACGGACCTGGGTTACCTCGGGCCTGTCTGTCCGGGCCCCGACCGGGCTTGGTTCCGGGCCAGGCCTGGTATTATTGTATTTTGTAATTCTATTTAAAATTTCAAATTTAAAAAAGATAAAAAATTAAAAAAACAATAATTTTATTTAATCACAATTAAATAACATAAATTACAAATAAAAAATTATAGAAATGAATTATTTATTAATAAATTAATAAGATCATTTTTAAATTACAAGTATACAATTTATTTTGGAATTTCATGCATCCCGAATGATAAGTACATCCCAACTAGCGTTTTTTTAATTTCTTTTCTTTTCTTTTTTGATAAAAAATGATAAAAATTAGTTTAACATTATTATATTTTATGCTGGATCAACCTCCATTGATTAGACAAAATTACCCTTAAACATTCTACCGTAAAAAACGACCGTCAAAACTTCGAAAAGAAGACCGGACGAATTGTCTGATCAACCAAGGATGTGCCGTTCGAGCGGACAAACGTCCAGAAAAAAGATAAAAAAATTCTATATACACGTGTAATTCATGCTGGTTTGACCGCTGTCCTTCTTGCCTCCCCTTCCTCTAAACAGAAACGTCAGAACCCAACAACTTTGCCATCTGGATCGTTGCCTTCTTACGTGTGGCTTGTAGGTTTTTCAATTTTACCCGAATATTATTTTTTGGGTTCCACCCACCCCCCAAAAAAATCATTCAATATTTCAATATTAGCCACCACAAATTATTTAAATCAATCTCAGGTCCTCAATTTCTATTATTATGTTGAAAATAATGCCTTATCAGCCTAAAATCTGCTAATAATTATAATATGGTGGCGTATCTGTTTACTGCTAATTTTTTGAATGATTTGAAGTGTATAGTCCTCTTACACAAATTAATTTTTAATGACAAAGCTTTTAACAGCAGGCATAAATGCATTTTATAGAGTTTAATATTAGTCCTTAAGCATTTCTTTGCAAACAAATTAATTCTTAGACGAAAATAATCAAAAGTTACCCTGCCAACGCGTTAACTTGGAGACAAGTAAAAACGACAAAATAAACGTTTCAATTTTTTTCTAAAATGTAAAGGCCTTATCTGTTCCGTTCTCTTCATCATCACCAGTACTCGCCGCTCTCTCCCTTCTCTTTCTTTCAAGAACCGAGATTCTCTATTCTCCTCTCTCCTTCTCCCTCCTCCCCCTCACCGGCCAGAGATCATGACCGATCTGCCGATGGAGGCCGAATTCGTCGCGATTTTTCCGAAAGGTCGTTCGCGAACAGGAGCAATTCTGAGCGGAAGGTGCGCGCCCTCCCCCCCCTCGTCGTTCATCCTCCTCCTCCCTCCTCCGACCGTCGCCGGCGTCGCATCCTGATGTTAACCCATCGACACGCTCAGTCCATATCTTCGTCGACGCGCGGAATCGAAGCCCCAAGGTCCGTACCGTAACAATCGCGGTGAGCCACCAAACCCACACCGTCGGCGGGCGTCGCCTCCTCCTCCCCATGTCAACCCCTGCAGCCGCTCAGCCGTAGTTCTTCTATCGAAGTGGAATCGAAGCCCAAGATCCTGTTACCTAACGAATTCGGAGCCCACCAAACACACGAGAGGGAAAGCAAGAGAGGGGGCTTAGAGACAGGAGAGGAGAAGGCAGAGGCAGTGAACAGAGGGTGAGATAGAGATGATGAGAGGGAGAGGGACAGGCAAAGAAGATGGCCCTTGAGAGGGCCAGAGAGGCAGGAGAAGATGCGCGAGGGGAGGCCGAAAAGACAGGAAGAGGGAGAGGGAAAGGATCGAGAAGGAGTCGAGGCTGAGAGCAGTAGAGGGAGGGACAGGCAGGAGATGGCCCTTGAGAGGGCAGGGAGACTGATGAGAGAGATGCGCGAGGGAGGCCGCAGAGGAGGGCAAGAGACAGGAGGGAGAGGGAAAGGATGGAGAGGGAGGTAAGAGACGGAGAGGAGAGGGAGAGAGATGAGAGGGGAAGAGGGACAGGCAAGGGAGATGGCCCTTGATGAGGGCAAGGGACAGGCAGGAGAGAGAAACGAGGGAGGCCGAGAGAGAGAGGGAGGGAAGGCAGGAGAGGGAGACCGAGTGACAGGAGAGGGAGACGGTGATTGAGGCACGGAGATGGCCCTTGAGAGGTGCAGGATGAGAGATGCGAGGGAGGACCGAGATACAGGGGAGTAGGAAGATGGAAAGGCAGGAGGGAGCGCTGAGGACACAATGAGAGGGGAGAGGGAGAAGATGATAGGGGAAGAGGGAACATGCATTGAGATGACCCTTGAGAGGTGGCCAAGGAGGGCAGGAGAGAGATGTGAGAAGAGGGCGAGAAGACACGAGGAGGGGAGACGGGAAAGGCATGAGAGGAAGGTTGAGATGACAGTGAGAAGGAGAGGGGAGAGGCTAGGAAGATGGCCCTTGAGCAGGGCAAGTAGAGAGATGCGAGGGAGGCCGAGTACAGGAGAGGAATATGGAAAGGCAGGAGAGGGAGGCTTGAGAACAGGAGAGGGAGAGGGAGCGAGAGATGATAGGGAACGGACATGCATGAGATGACCCTTGAGGAGGGCCAAGGGGGGCCAGAGAGAGAGATGTGGAGAGGGGCGAGAGACAGAGAGGGAGCAGGGAAAGGCAGCGATGAGGGAGGTTGAGAGACAGGAGAGGAGAGGGAGAGCAGGAGAGGAGAGGGAAGACAGCGAGATAGCCTTGAGAGGGCCGGGAGAGTCAGGAGAGAGTGCTGAGGAGGCGATGAGGAGCCGAGAGACAGGAGAGGGGAGGGAAAGGCAAGAGAGGAGGCCTGATAGACAGAGAGAGGGAGGACGTGCAGAGGCAGGAGAGGAGAGGGACAGGCGGGAGATGGCCCTTAAGAGCGCCAAGTAGAGAGCGAGGAGTAGCAGATGCGAGGGAGGCCGCAGAGGTGAGGCGGGAAGGAGCGAGAGGGAGAGGAAGGCAGGGAGGGAGGCTGAGAGACAGGAGAGAGAGAGAGAGAGACACGAGAGGGAGAGGGACAGGCCAGGAGATTGGCCCTTGAGGGGCCAGGAGAGAGGCCGAGAGAGAGATGGCGAGGGAGGCCGAGAGAGAAGAGAGGCAGAGAGGGAAAAGTGCAGGAGAGAGGAGTGAGAGACAGGAAGGGAGAGAAGAGTAGAGAGATAGAGGGAGAGGGGACATGCAGGAGATGGAACCTTGAGAGGGGCAGCGAGATTGCAGGAGAGAGATGTGGAGCGGAGGCCGAGAGGAGAGGCCTGAGAGACGGAGAGGAGAGGGAAAGCAGAGAGGGAGCGCTACGATACATGAGAGGGAGAGAGATGAGGCAAGAGAAGGAGAGCGGTGAGAGATGAGAGGGAAGGGACAGGCAGAGAAGCCCTTGAGAGGGCCAGGGAAAGGCTCAGGGTGAGAGGAGATACGAGGGAGGCCAGAGAAAAGGAGACCGAGAGACACGAGAGGGACAGGGAATGGCAGGAGAGGGAGGCTGAGGAGACAGGAGAGGGAGAGGCAGGGAGAGGGAGAGGGAAGAGGTAGAGAGATGAGATGGAGAGGTGAGAGCGGACATGGCCAGGAGATGGCCCTTGAGAGGGCAAGGGAGAGAACAAGAGAGAGATGCGAGGAGGTCGAGAGGCGGAGGTCGAGAGGACATGAGAGGGAGAATAGGAAAGCAGGAGAGGGAGGCTATAGAGAAGAGAGGGAGAAGCAGGAAGAGGATGCGAGGGAGGCCTGAGAGGGAGGCAGGAGAAAGGAGAGGGAGGAAGCGAAAGACAGGGAGAGGGAGACTTGAGAGGCAGGAGAAGGAGTTGGGACAAACAGGAGATAGACCTTAAGAGGGCCAGAGAGAGGCAGCGAGAGAGATGCATAGGGAGGCCGAGGAGGGAGGAGAGGGAGAGGGAAGTCGGAGAGAAGAGCTGAAGAGACATGAGATGGAGAGAGGAAGAAGAGATCGAGAGGGAGGGGACATGAGGAGATGCCCCTTGAGAGGGCCAGGGGAGAGTCAGGAGAGAGATGCGAGGGAGGCCAAGGAGACATGAGGGCGAGAGGGAAAGCAGTGAAGGAGGCTGAGAGACAGGAGAGGAGCGGAGAGGTACCTAGGAGAGGGAGAGGAGAGAGATGAGAGGGAGTGCGACAGGCAGGAGATGATCTTGAGAGGGCCGGGGGGAGAGGCAGGGAGAGAGGATACGAGGGAAGGTCGAGAGGGAGGCCGAGAGGGGAGAGGGACGAGGAAAGGCAGGGAAGGAGGCTGAGAGACAGGAGAGCTGAGAGGGAAGAGGCGGAGATGGGAGTGGCGACAGGTAGGAGATGGCCTTGAGAGGGCCAGGGAGGGGCCAGGGAGAGAGATGCGAGCGTAGGCCAAGAGACAGGAGAGGGAGAGGGAAAGCAGGAGGGAGCTGAGAGACAGAAGAGGGAGAGGGAGAGGGAGGCAGGAGAGGGAGATGGAGAGGAACAGGCAGAGAGATGACCTTGCAGAGGGCAGCGAGAGGCAACTCGAGAGAGATGTGAGTGAGTCGAGAGGTAGCGAGAGACAGGAGAGGGAGAAGGAAAGTCAGGAGAGGAGGCTGACGAGAAAGGAGAGGGCAGAAGCGAGAGGGCAGGAGAGGAGAGGGGGAGAGATGAGAGCGAGAGGGACAGAACAGAATATGGCCCTTGAGAGGGGCCTACGGAGAGGCCCAGAAGAGAGATTGCGAGGGAGGCCGAGAGGGAGGCAAGAGACAGGAGACGGAGGGAAATGCAGGAGGAGAGCGGGACTGAGAGACAGGTGGAGGGAAGGCAGGAGAGACACAGGACTGAGAGAGGGGGACAGACGATGAGATGACCCTTTAGAGGACGTCAGGAGAGCGCAGTGGCAAGAGAGCGAGAGCCGACGAGGGAGGAGAGGGAGAGGGAAAGGCAGCTGAGAGGGTATGGGCGACGAGACAGGAGAGGGAGAGAAGAGACGATGAGAGGGGAGAGGTGACAGGCCGAGGAGATGGCCCTTGAGAGGGCTAGGAGAGCAGGAGAGTAGATGCCGAGCGGAGTCCTGAGAGGGCGCCGAGAGACAGGAGAAGGAGACGGAAGACAGGAGAGGGAGGCTGAGAGACAGGAGAGAGGAGAGAGGGATGAGAGGGGGAGAGGGAAACAGGCAGCGAGATGGCCCTTGAGAGTCAGGAGAAGGCAGGAGAGAGATGCGAGGAGCGAGGGAGGCGGGAGACATGAAGAAAAGAGGTGAAAGGCAGTTGAGCGGAGGCTGAGAGACAGGAGAGCGCGAGACGGGAGAGGCGGGATGAGAGGGAGGAGAGGGAGAGGGAGAGGGACAGGCAGGAGATGACCCTTGAGAGGGCAAGGGAGAGGCAAGAGAGAGATGTGAGTGAGTCCGAGAGGGAGGCCGAGAGACAGGAGAGGGAGAAGGAAAGTCAGGAGAGGGAGGCTGAGAGAAAGGAGAGGGAGAAGGAGAGGCAGGAGAGGGAGAGGGGGAGAGATGAGAGGGAGAGGGACAGACAGAATATGGCCCTTGAGAGGGCTAGGGAGAGGCAGAAGAGAGATGCGAGGGAGGCCGAGAGGGAGGCCAAGAGACAGGAGAGGGAGAGGGAAAGGCAGGAGAGGGAGACTGAGAGACAGGTGAGGAAGAGGGAGAGACAGGAGAGAGAGGGGGACAGACATGAGATGACCCTTTAGAGGGTCAGGGAGAGGGAGGAGAGAGATGCGAGGGAGGCCGAGAGGTGGCCGAGAGATAGGAGAGGGAGAGGGAAAGGCAAGAGAGGGAGGCTGAGAGACATGAAAGGGAGAGGGAAAGGCAGGAGAGGGAGACTGAGAGACAGGAGAGGGAGAGGAAGAGGCAGGAGAGGGAGAGGGAGAGAGATGAGAAGGAGAAGGACAGACAGGAGATGACCGTTGAGAGAGCTAGCGAGAGACATGTGGGAGATGCGAGGGAGGCCGAGAGGGAGGCCGAGAGACAGGAGAGGGAGAGGGAAAGGCAGGAGAGGGAGGTTGAGAGACAGGAGAGGGAGAGGGAGAGGTAGCCCTTGAGAGGGCAAGGGAGAGGTAGGAGAGAGATGCGAGGGAGGCTGAGAGGGAGGCCGAGAGACAGGAGAGGGAGAGGGAAAGGCAGGAGAGGGAGGCTGAGAGGCAGGAGAGGGAGAGGGACAGGCAGGAGAGGGAGAGGGATAGTGCAAGAGTCTAACACTATGAAACCACTCCCCCCTCATAATACACGAAATAATTTACCCCTAAAGAACAGGGTTACGTGATCGGTTTTCTTTATACTTCACTGATTTCGACGAAAACCGACATCAATCCTGTAGAGGAGTAATTTTATAAGTTTTACCTATAATAATAATAATAATAACAACAACAACAACAAGAGCAATAATAGCAATGACAATGATAATAATAATAATAATAATAGCATATAAGTGTTATGCAACATATACAGCGAAAGATTTTGCCTCAAATTATCACTTAATTATAAAGTATTTATAATTTGTAAGTAAATCAAATTAGTTACCTTTTGGTTGCTTTCATATCGCTACCAAAACTAATTTGTAAGTAAATCAAATTAGTTCGCCTGACAGCTTGAGGCTCGCCTGAAGGCCAAGCTCGCCTGAAGGTTTGAAGTTCGCCTGCATAAGGCAAACTCGCCAGACAACTCGAAGCTCGCCTGCATAAGGCAAGCTCGTCTGCAGGGTCGCTAGCCCACCTGTAGGGTTTCCAGCTCGCCTAGCTTGTCAGCCGCCCACTTGGGGTATGTGAGTAGTCACATCAATGGTCACATCCCACAGCTAGGGAAGCATGGCGCCCCTCACCTAGGCTAGGCATGGCCAAAACTCTCCTAATAGCCGTTATGACTACAAGAATAGGTGGCTAGCTCCCTCACCCCTACTAGTGGTCAAATCCCACAAATCAAGGGATGGCCTATGCCATCCCTAGCCTATTTAAGGCCACCTTCACACAACGTGAAGGGTGGTTGATTGGCTTTTGCTTGATTAGCTAGCTAATCTTCCAAAGGTTGAACCTTGGCTCATTTGCTAAAGGCTCCCTCATTTGCTCGGCTTGAAGATTGCAGAGACGAGACTTGTCTGAACTCTCAGACTTGAGGCTCTTAGGCTTTTTGCAAGCTCTTGCATAGCAGCCCCCTTCAAGCAGTCGGCCCACAAGCACGAGCACTGGTTTGGCCTCGGGCAGACTCGAACTCGACCAACACGAGCTTTTACTATGTACTAAAGCTCGCCTGCAACTTCGCTCGAATCGTCCAAGGGAAACAAACTCGATTCAGACACTGAGGGAGGCATCCTATCGCTACCAAAGACCCCACGCTAAACAAGGAGGGCATTCCCTCCGCTTCTGTTGTAACTTTGATTTATTAATTTGTAATAAGTAATTCTTATCAAAACAAACGAAATCCCCATTCCAGGAAATCAATTTTTACACCTACAGAGTTTAACCGGTATGACTAATTAAAAGTAGTTTACAGGTTTCAGTTTTTTGTGAGAGGGGTATAACTAGCAAATCACCGAAAAGATAAAGTAAATCGAATATTCCCTCTATATTAACCAAAGTTTCACTATGGGCGCTTATTTGAATATACTAATTAATAGGATTTGCGGTGCCGAAGGTTAATTTCAAAGACCCCGCTAGGTGGCTGGGGGTTGCTGATATCGAAATAACTAATTATTGTTTCTTTAAAAAACTTTTCCCAAACCTTTAATAAAATAGATTTTTTAAGGGGGGTGTTTGTTTTGACGATATTGAAACGACCAACTATTATTTATTGAAAGAACTTCCCAAATGTTTAATAAAATAGCCATAGAGAAAGATAAAATAAAGTGACAAGTGACAACGTATCCAACAACGCTACAATTGACATTCTCCTCAAACAAAACAAAAAATAAAAAAAGAGAGAAAAAGAAAAACAAAACCCCCCCCTGGCTGGACATCACTCCGTACTCGTCCGCAACCGGTTAACTTAATGACCACGTAAAAACGACAAAAACCCCTTCAATTTTGTAATTGTTTCTCTGTCATCACTCGGTCCTCTCTCTCTCTCTCTCTCTCTCTCTCTCTCTCTCTCTCTCTCTCTCTCTCTCTCTCCAGAAACGAAGATTCTCTATTCTCCTCTCTCCCTCTCTCCCTCTCTCCATCCTCCCCCTCACCGTCATGACGATCTCCGAGAGACCGAATTCATCGCAGTTTTGCCGAAAGGTCGCTCGGAAGAGGAACTGTTCCGAGCGAAGGGGCGCCCCCCATCGCCGTTGTCGGCGCTGGCACGCTCAGCCGCAGGATCTTCCGTCGACGCGGATCCGAAACAATCACGGATCCCACCGGCCCCACACCGTCCTCCTCCTCCTCCTCCTCCTCCTCCCGATCGTCAGCGACGTCGACTCCTCCTGGGGCAACGAAGGAGGCCGAGAGGGAGGCTGAGAGACTGGAGAGGGAGAGGGACAAGCAGGAGAGGGAGAGGGAGAGGGAGAGGGAGAGAGATGAGAGGGAGAGGGACAAGCAGGAGATGGCCCTTGAGAGGGCCAGGGAGAGGCCAGCATTGGGGCGTGTTCGCAGTGAGCCGCCGCGCACAGTCTCTAAAGGGGGGTTATTGGTTGGGAGCAAATTGGGGCCAAGTGGGAAAAATTGTTCCAAGATGGAACAATTTTAGCGCGCCTTATGGGAATATTTTGAAGTGGGGTAAAGTGGGATAATGAGATTAATTTGAAGCATTTGATTTGCAAGTTCAATGTGGGATATATTGATGATGTGACAGCCTAGTTAAAATATAATTTTAATCTATAATTTACTTCTAAAATTAACTTTATGCGCATTGGTTTAGTATATTATTATAATATAACATTATTTTAGTACTTTAATTAAAATCCATAATTATATTGTACTATACTTTACAGATTACGTATTATTAATTATTATATTATATTATATTAGCCAATGGCTATATAAAGCTAATATATAATAATTAATATAATATAGATATTGAATATATTTTAATATAATATTTTAATAAATATATTATTTAAATATGAATACATTATTTAATTTATCAAAAATTATAGATATGTTTATATCAATAATTCTATTAACATTAATATTTGTATGGCTACATTATATAAATAATATGATATAAATATGAATAGATATATTAATATAAATACTTAATAATATATTTTTATTAATTTAATATATTATAATATAGTATCCAAGGATATAATATACTTTATAAAATATTAAATATTTTTAATTTATTCAATGTAATATTTTTAAAATATTAATATTAAAATTACAATATTATATATATATTAAATATATATGGTATATTATATCATAAGTATATAACATGATAAGTTACAATAATATATATTAAAGTAGGTATGCTGTTATAGTATAATATATTATTTATTTGCAAACTATAGTATTATGATTATATTATATCATAAATATTGTTTACTAAAATATTAGTTAATTATTATATTATACTTATAATAGTATGTGCATATATAGTTAATAACTATAATATATTTTATAAATTAGTTATGATAATAATATATTATATAAATAATATATGATATTAAAATATTATATAATATTAATAATAAATATGTTATATATAACTCCTAATTAATGATTATGTAATAATATATTACATAATACTATTAATATAAATGTTATGTAAAATATTGCTTATATTTTATTAAAAATTTTTAATATATGTTATTTCAAAATATTATATAATATTATCAATAAATATGTTATACTATAATACTATTTATAATATTATTGAATATATGTTATTCAGATTATGTTATTAAAATATTATATAATGTTTATATTTTTATATATCATATCATATATTTATGAATCGATAATTAGCATATATTAGTTAAGTAATAGCAAAAATATTTAAAATTATCCCAATTGGCCTTCAAATGGAACACATTGTTCCAATATGGAGGACTGGGTGATTGCTTTACTATTGGGGAGAAAATTTTATATATGAGTGGGGTAGGTTTTTATCTCAAGTGGTGTAGTTGGTCTGGCAATAGTGTCCAAAAAACTAACTAACGCAAAAGGTATTATCTTGTTTTCAATTGTCCAATAAATAACACTAAATGAAATAATCCCTAAAATTATCATCAAAATTATCCCCAAAATAGAATTCCTTAAAAACTAATTGGGATTACACATTTACACGCTCTCCGCCCACTCAATTCCCTTAAAAGCCGCTTCGACCTTATGCCATTGCATGGGTTTCTTTATTTATGCTCGTTTTTATTTGTTTACCCCTCCCGCTCTACTTTGTAGGTCAATCTACTTCTAGTTTTGTTTCTGAGTAGTTTGAATAAAAATGGACATTTTGTCGCATGATCAGTGGTCCAGGAAGGAGTCTGCTTATTTGGGGAGCTTGAAGAAGCTCTCATGCAAGGAGTTGTTGATCAGGACAAGAAGCGTAATGCGCTCTCGTCTCTCTCTTCCCCTGCTCTCTCCAAGAAATTAATAGTCTTCAGCAGTGAATCACATGAGAGTAAAAACCAACTTACTGCTTCAGAGGTGGTTTTTAAAGCATGGCGAATACTAACAACTCTCTTGATCAAAAAGGGAAAGAATATGAGCGCTTTTGAACAAAACTGACAGCTTTTCAGTCCTGCTTCTCCTTGCAAATTAAGAATCGTAAAGGGCAGCAGGCTTTTGTTTTGATCCTCTGACCAAAAAATAAATTTTTCTCTTGCAGGCTTGTTTTTCACGACGAGACCCCTCCCACTCTTGAGATCTGTCCCCTCTTGGCCAATGAGATTTCAGCCAGTCCTTTGGCCTTTTGTTTTCCTTTTTCATTTTCAATACCACACCGCTAATTCTATTAATTATTGGCGTTGTAAAACAATAGAATTTATATTATACAATACATACATAGGGGAGTTCAACAGTCAGGCAGAAGGGAGCACAGAGGACTCAGGAATCGTTCAACACAATGTTCACAAATCTCTCAGCTCGAATCAGAGTGATTCTCTCATTGAGGCAAACAGTATGCATAATAACAACAAGGCTTCATCAGAGCAGTCCTCTGGGCCCGTCCTCCTCCCCTTCTCCTGCCTCGCCGACCGTCGAGGCGGTCGGACTCCCTCCCGAGGCTGAGAGATGGCCATTAGTATGCTACATTATATAATAATTATATAATAATTAATATAATATATATAATATAATACTTTAATAATATATTATTTAATTTAATATATTATAATATAGTATCATAGGATATAATGTACTTTATAAAATATTATAATATTTTACTTTATTCAATGTAATATTTTTAAAAATTTTATATTAAAATTAAAATATAATATAACATATATATATTACATGATAATTACAATAATATATATTAAAAGGTATCATGTTATAGTTAATATATTATATTATTTCAAACTATAGTATTATATTATATTATATCATAATATTTTACTAATATTAGTAATTATTATATTATATTATAATAGTATGTCATATATATAATAACTATAATAATATTTTATAAATTAGTTATATAATAATATATTATATAATAATATATGATATTAAAATATTATATAATATTATAATAAATATGTTATACTATAATTACTAATTAATATTATGTAATAATATATTACATAATACTATTAATATATGTTATTAAAATATTATATATATTTTATTAAAATTTTAATATATGTTATTAAAATATTATATAATATTATAATAAATATGTTATACTATAATTACTATTATATAATATTATTAATATATGTTATTAGATTATGTTATTAAAATATTAATATATGTTATATTTTATATATCATATCATATATTTATAATATAATTAGCATATATTAGTTAAGTAATACAAAAATATTTTAAAATTATCCCAATTGCCTTCAAAGTGGAACAACATTGTTCCAATATGGAGGATGGGGTATTCTTTACTATTGGGGAGAAAATTTTTATATATGAGTGGGGTAGTTTTATCTCAAGTGGTGTAATTGTCTCACTAGTGTTCCAAAAAACTAATAACGCAAAAGGTATTATCCTTGTTTCATTGTCCCAATAAATAACACTATGAAATAGAATCCCTAAAATTATCTCATTATCCCCCAAAATAGAATCCCTAAAACTATTGGGATTACACATTTACACCTCTCCCCCACCAATTCCCTTAAAACCTTCGACCCTTATCCATTCATGGGTTTCTTTATTTATGCTCATTTTTTATTTGTTTCCCCCTCCCCTCTCTTTGTACTCAATCTTACTTCTAGTTTTGTTTCTGAGTAGTTTGAATAAAAATGGACATTTTGTGCATGATCAGTGGTCAGGAAGGAGCTGCTTATTTTGGGGAGCTTGAAGAAGCTCTCATGCAAGGAGTTGTTGATCAGGACAAGAAGCGTATGCGCTCTCTCTCTCTCTTCCCCTCTCTCTCAAGAAATTAATAGTCTTCACAGTGATCACATGAGAGTAAAAACCAACTACTGCTTCAGAGGTGGTTTTAAAGCATGGCGAATACTAACAACTCTCTTGATCAAAAAGGGGAAAAGAATATGAGCGCTTTTGAACAAAACTGACACTTTTCAGTCCTTTCTCCCTTGCAAATTAAGAATCGTAAAGGGCAGCAGGCTTTGTTTTGATCCTCTGACCATAAAATTTTTCTCTTGCAGCTTTTTTCACGACGAGACCCCCTCCCACTCTTGAGATCTTCCCCTCTTGGCCAATGAGATTTCAGCAGTCCTTTGCCTTTTGTTTCTTCTTCATTTTCAATACCACACCCCTAATTCTATTTTATTATTGCTGTTGTAAACAACAATAACAATTATATATACATACATACATAGGGGAGTTCACAGTCAGCAGAAGGGAGCACAGAGGACTCAGGATCAGCTCAACACACAAATCTCTCAGCTCGAATCAGAGTGATCTCCATTGAGCAACAGTACTCATAATAACAACAAAGCTTCATCAGAGCAGTCCTCTGCCCGTCCTCCTCTTCCTCCTCCTCCCGACCGTCGGCGGCGTCGACTCCTCCCGAGGCTGAGAGATGGCCCTTGAGAGGCCGGCTTTGGGGGTGTTCCAAGTGAGCCCCCGCACCCCATTTTCTTTTATGTAATTATATTTATATATATGAAAAAATAAATGTGGACCGTCCATTTCACATATAGCTTAATCTCAACCCTCTGACCAAAAATCCTCTTTCAAAAACGCATCAGCCTCACCCCTACTCATTTCTTCATCTGATTCTCCACGAATCCTCATCAAACCCAGCGCTCGGCCCAAATCCACCCAGGCAGTCGCCGTTCAGCGTACTTCGCCGCCCCGCCGCCCCTGAGGGCTGAGTCCCATCATCCTCTCCGACTTCCGCGAGCGCCGGAGGCGGCGAGGCCAGCCCCAAATCGCCGCCAGCCTCCATCCTCTCTCCGCCCTCAGCGGCTCAGCTCAGCCTCAGCCCCGAAATCACCGCCAGCCCCGAAATCGCCGACTTCGGTTCGGAATCGGAGTTGTTCGGAGCTCGCCGACGCCGCGGTCTCTCGACTCTCGCCTGAGCTCTCCCATCTCCTCTTCTCGCGTATGATTCCTTTGTTTTTTTATATTTTTTATAATTTTTTCTGTTGTGATTTTAGGGTTTTG